CGCCCCTGGGGCCAGCGCCGCCCCAGACTGGTGGGGGCACCCACGAGGGGCACAGGCCCGGCCGGGCCCGGTCAGGAGCACACGCGGGCCACCACTGGGACCTGCTTACTGCGGGCGGCAGGACACTGCACGGCGCCACAGGCCGCAGGGCGGCCAAACTGCCCAGACGTCGCCTGAAGTGACCCCAGCCCGCGAGGGAGCCCTGCACGGACCCTGAGATGGCCCCCGCCTTGGGCTTCCCTTGTCTGTTACGTGGTGACCGCCAGCGACGAGGGCAGCCCCGGGGTCCTGGCTCGGGCCCCGCATGGGGTGGCAAGCGGGCGCCAGGGACCGCAGCGGCCACGCCCCTGCAGGCAGGGTGGGCCTGGGCCTGGGGCTCCCGCATGCGGCTGGCCACTGGCCACGCCGGCCTTAACCCCAAGGGAACGCGCCCACGCCGTCGGGCTCGCTCATCTCCTGGCGCGCGGGCTCCCGTCCACCCTGCTCCGCGGGCCCGGCCGGACACCGCCCTGCGCGCCGGGGAAGGCTGGCTGGAGCGTCCGGGCGAGGGTGCGTAGGCCAACCCCTCCGACGGTCACTTTCAAGCTCCTCCACCAGTTCCTGAGGCCGCCCGTCCCCGCTGCCCTTGCCGCCCAGGGCGCTCAGACCGTGATCCTGCCGCGCTGACCACCTGCAGGGAAGGAGGCCGGCGGCCCGGCCCCGGCGGTGTGGCCCTCCGGGACGCCCGCTGCCCCCGCTGCCCTTGCCGCCCCGTGCCCCCAGGGGCCTCGCCTGGGGGGCGTTGTGGAGTGTCTCCAGCATCCCTGCCAGAGCTGCCCGTCTCGCTAGCTCCAAGTCACCAGCCGGGGGCACAGCCGCCGCGTCCAGGCTGTGTCCCCGCCCATGGCGCTCCGAGGCGGATGTGTCTGCGGCCAGCGATTCACCGAGCGAGCTGGGCGAGACCGGCTCCCAGAGCCCTCGCGCCGGCGAGCTCCCTCTTCCTGGGGCAGGTGCCCAGGCTTCAGCTGCATATGCTCTTAAAGACTCGTGTATTTATGCACGTAGAGCTGGGGTCCAGGCCAGAGGCGCGGGGCGCGAGAGGCTTCCCCAGTGAGGGCAGACAGGCCGGCTGGCGAAGTGCACTGCTGAGGGGAGCAGCGGGCGGTCAGGAGAGGCCTGCGGTCACCCCCGTGCTGACGTGGCCTTCGCTGCTGAGCGCCGCGCTCTAACCCGCTGGCCCCCAGCGCGGGCCCCGGCTTCGGATCTGTAAAACCAGCTGTTGGCCAGACCCCCGGCCGGTGGCGGTCACATGCTCTTCCCAGGAGTCGGGGCCTGCGGACCCCAGGCTGAGCGGGGCAGGCAGAGCCGGGCGAGTCGGGCGTGCTGGAAAGACGGTTCCGTGTCGGCACCGCCGGCCACTGGCATCGCGCCCACTGGCCACGCCCGGGACAATGCGGCCACAGGACGAGGCCGGCTCACAACCCCGACTGGAAGGAGGACGGGTGAGTCCGTGCCTTGTGCGCGGTCAGCAGCCAGTGGACAGCCCAGCGCGCCCAGTGTCCATCCTGTGGCCACGAGCTGGCGGTCAGCAGAAGCCACACTGACGGGCGACGCCTGAGACAGGCACGGAACCGTGGCATTG